TGAGAAGCAGATGGTCTGTCCCCCCTGGGAGCCGGACACACTCTCAGAGGAAGGCAGCGCACATGACTTTTCAATTCATCCTCTGATTTTTTTTAATCCCTGATGACTTCTCAGTCCCCTGCATTATCTCATCTTCCTTTTCCTGCCCTTTATGTATTGCTATTCTCCAAGTCCTGGTGGAGAGTTCATCTGAACTCACTTTTTTTTTTTGAGACAGAGCCTCAAGCTGTCCCCCTGGGTAGAGTGCTGTGGCATCACAGCTCACAGCAACCTCCAACACCTGGGCTCAAGCGAGTCTCCTGCCTCAGCCTCCCAAGTAGCTGGGACCACAGGCGCCCGCCACAATGCCTGGCTATTTTTTTTGGTTGCAGCCATCATTGTTGTTTGGCAGGCCCGGGCTGGATTTGAACCCGCCACCTTAGGTGTATGTGACCTTAGCCTCTTGAGCCACAGGCACCGAGCCTGAACTTTCTTTTTTATATTTGAAACAGAGTCTCAAGCTGTCATCCTGTGCAGAGTGCTGTGGCGTCATAGCTCACAACAACCTCCAACTCTTGGGCTCAAGTGATTCTCTTGCCTCAGTTTTTCTATTTTTAGTAGAGACGGGGGTCTCGATTTTGCTCAGGCTGGTCTCGAGCTTGTGAGCTCAAGCTATCCACCCACCTCGGCCTACCAGAGTACTGGGATTACAGGTGTGAGCCACCACTCCTGGCCCTTTTCTTTTTTTTTGCAGTTTTTGGTCGGTGGGTTTGAACCCACTACCTCCGGCATATGAGGCTGGCGCTCTACTCCTTTGAGCCACAGGTGCTGCCCCCCCCCACACTTTTTTTGAGACAGAATCTTACTTTGTCATCCTTGGTAGAGTACCATGGTGTCATAGGTTACAGCAACATCAAACTCTGGGGCTCAATTCTCGTGCCTCCACCTCCTGAGTAGCTGGGACTACAGGCACCTGCCACAGTGCGGGGCTATTTTTTTTTTTTTGCAGACGAGGTCTCATTGTGGCTCAGGCTGGTCTCAAAACTGTGAGCTCACCACCTGCTTTGGCCTTTCAAATGCTGAGATTACAGGCATGAGCCACCATACCCGGTCTTTTCATCTGAACTTTAATACTTCCTCCCACAGCCTCTGTCCTGATGGTGCTAAGTCTATTATTGGTGTGACGTAGTGGTCAGGGATCTCAAACTCAAGCTGCAACCCACAGAAAAGAAAGCACATTCCCATCTGCCCTAGAGCACCTGACACATTTAAACTGTTCAGGGACTGGCAGTGGTTCCCGCATGTCTGGTTTTCCATATTCCTTTAATAATAGAACTGCAAAGATTCTGGAAGGCACAGGAGACACCAAACTAACCCCAGCCTCCCTTGAAAGTTTGACTAAACATTGGACCGGGTAATGAGAGTAGAAATGTGACGACTTCTTCCTTAGAAGAGATGGGAGTCCCCTTCTTTTTTCCTCCCTGCTTACTGCTGGGTGCAGTGAAGACAAGGCAGGAGCTGGAGCTGGTTTTAAATTGAAAGAGGGAAGCCACGTTTGAGAATTTCAGTGATAAGACTGGAAGATCATGGGGTAGTGGCTCACACCTTTTTTTTTGAGACAGAGTCTCAAGCTGTCACCCTGGGTAGAGTGCTGTGGCGTCACAGCTCCCCTCAGCAACCTCCAACTCTTGGGCTTCAGTGATTCTCTTGCCTCAGCCTCCCAAGTAGCTGGGACTACAGGCGCCCACCACAACACCTGGCTATGTTTTGGTTGCAGTTCTCATTGTTCAGCTGACCTGGGCTGGGTTTGAACCGCTAGCTTTGGTGTATGTGGCTGGTGCCCTAGCCGCTGTGCTACAGGCACCGCCTCACACCTGTAATGTTACTACCTTCTGAGGCTGATGTGAAAGGCCAGCAGTTTAAGACTACCTTGGGCAACATAGCAAGACTCTGTCTTGACAAAAAAGTAAGATAGAACGAAAGACCCACGTGGTGGAGCTGCCATGTCAACTCTGGGGATCTACCACATGGGTTTAGATTATTATGAGAGAGAGAAATAAACTTGTAGGGTATATAAGTCATTGCAACTTTAGGATTTGTAAAGGCAGTTGAACTGGTACCTTAAATAATAGCTGAAACAAAAGTTTAACGAAGTTAGACTCACCCTTACCGTGTGCAGTGTGCTGTGATATTTTCCAGACTGTTCATGTGTCAGAAATATCAAAAGGGAAGAGAACTGTTTTGTATTAAGAGGCTAAAGAGCTAGATATAAAATCCAAATGTGACGCACGAACTTTTACTGGATTTTGGTTTGAAAGAAAAAAGCATCTATGCTGCTGCCTAGCCAGGTTCATCTACCCGCTGCCGAAGAGGAAGCCAATACCCAGAGACACGAGGGTTTACAGCAGAGAAAGAATTTATTTATTTATTTATTTGAGACAGAGACTCAAGCTGTCACCCTGGGTAGAGTGCTGTGGTGACATCATAGCTCACAGCAACCTCCAACTCTTGGGCTGAAGCCATCCTCTTGCCTCAGTTTTGTCTTTTTTTTTTTGTATTTGTAGTAGAGACGGGTCTCACTCTGGCTCAGGCTGGTCTCGAGCCCATGAGCTCAAGCAATCTACTTGTGTCTGTCTCCCAGAGTGCTAGTCTTAGGATCATAGGCGTGAGCCACTGCACCTGGCCCCAGAGAAGGAATTTAATCTATGTAGCTCTAAGTGAGGAGACAGAAGAAATTTCTTTTTTTTTTTTTTTTGAGACAGAGTCTCACAGCCTCTCAAGTAACTGGGACCATAGGCACCTGCCACAACACCTGGCCATTCTTTGGTTGCAGTTGTCATTGTTCTTTAGCAGGCCCTGGCTGGGCTGGAACCCGCCAGCTCTGGTGCATGTGGCCAGTGCCCCACTCACTGAGCCATGGGTACCAAACTCAGAAGAAATTTCTTAAATCCATTTCCCCCAGGATTTGGGAGACAGGATTTGTAACGAAAGTTTGATGGGCAGAGGGTTAGACAATCAAGGTTTGCTAATTGGCTGGGTTTGGGGCAGAATCTCTGGAATGCAGGACTAATTTCTTGAGTGTAGTTCACAAGACCAATGGAGTCAGTTCCTTGGTCTGGATAGGTCAGCCTATCTGCTGAAGATATCCCAGAAACTACCTTTAGGGTTTCAAAAGGTAATGTTATATCTATGGAGAAAAATTAAGAATCCAACTACCAGCAATGCTGAGAAAGCTAAGAATCTTCATAAGCCACCCCTCTCCAAACAATCTTTATAACCAACAACTATGTGTGACTCTAGGGAAGCAATTATAAAGAAGCAAACAAGGGAGGCCAAGCGAGCCGGTTAATCCTAGCACTCTGGGTGGATGGCTTCAGGTCGGGAGTCTGAGACCAGCCTGAAACCAGCCTGAACAAGAGTGGGTGGGACCCATCTCTAAAAAATAGCTGGGCATTGTTGTGAGTGCCTGTAGTCCCAGCTACTAAAGAGGCTGAGGCAAGAGAATCACTTAAGCCCAAGAGTCTGAGGTTGCTGTGAGCTGTGTGAGGTTGCTGTGAGCTGTGACATCACAGTACTCTACCCAGGGTGACAGCTTGAGACTCTGCCTCAAAAAAAAAAAAAAAAAAGAAAAGAAAAAAAGCCATTCCATACTCCTCCCCTCGTCTCCTGCCAGCTCTCCAGAGGGTAGCCCATCTGTCCCACCTCCTGCCTCTCAGCAGTCTCTGGGCCTGTTCGGATTCAAGAAGATGCAAGGGGAAAGGGAGAAGGCCCAACAGCCTCTCAGGCCAAGTTAGCACTGGGAGAAATGAGGGCTTTGTTAGACCCCTGCCAAGTAGGAAGGGTGCAGTGAATTCCTCTCGGGAGGCTGTCAAACCAATAGAAAGTGATTCAGCAGAGTTCTCACAGTACAGAGGTTTCTTTCATATCTTTATTGACAAAAGGTCACAGCACTTCAGACTTTATTCAATAAACACATGAACAGTAACAAGGGGCACTCGCAAGTGACACCCCCAAGAGCAGTTAGAACTGTCCCTTTAGAGATGGGCCCCACGTCACTGCCAAGGAAAAAAGACTAAACTGGTGCTACCCTGTCAGCACTCTGGGGATGCAGGTGCTCCTGGGCCTGGTTGGCACCACCTATGGGCTCGGGCCTGGGGCAGAAAAAAAGGCAGGACACTCCCCACTTGGCAGTACTGAGCAGCAGAGAGTGGGTCACTGGTCACATGACAGCCCCAACCCACTGTGCAGACCTCTCAGACCAGCCAGACTCTCAGAGGGACAAAGCTTTCAAGCAGGAACACCTGCTTGGTTTGTAAAGGGTTTAGGTAAAATTGTCTCCCAGAGATCTTAAATGAAGCATCCTTACACTTCTGGAGCACTAGAATAACTGTCATCAGGGTGCAGTGAGGGGACCTGGTCAACCCCAGCCCTCCCTCCAAGACAGAATGTCATTCCTGCCTCTCTCCCAGAGTGTGTGGCTTGGGGTCAATAGCAGTCCTTTTGCAGGGCCAGCTGCGAGACTCTGAGAAGAGCAATGACAGTAACAGTGCACTGATGAGGCACTTGCCCCACGTCTGCCCTCCAGGCCTCATGGCTGAACTTGGTGATGGAGCTGGGATTCAGACCAGAGGTCTCAGCCCCGCCTGGCTAATCATCAGGCAAGCCCCAGGGAAGCAGAGGGACAGAGCCTGAAGGAAGCTCATCAGGCACAAGGCTCCAAGCTAAGCTGCTTTTCCTCCTAGTCAGTCTGACATTGCTTATTTGGCTTGGCCAAAGGGTACCTCCTCCAAAGACCTCTCTCCTGCTCTGCTCGGGGCAGCCTTCCCTGCTGTCTCTACTTTTCTTTCTTTTTTTTGCAGTTTTTGGCGGAGGCTGGGTTTGAATCCGCCACCTCTGGTATATGCAGCCAGCGCCCTACTCCTTTGAGCCACAGGTGCCGCAGTGTCTCTACTTTTCATTGACTCTACCCAAATCTTTATTTCCCTGAAAGATCTGACACAATGGATGTCCATAAGCCTTTGTAGCAGTGGCTGCTTTTACTGCAGGTGGAAGTTCATCTAACATTTTACAGCTGTAAAAATACTGGGCACAGGCCAGACTTTTGAGGTGCTAACGTGTATACTTACAGTGGTGTGTAGACATAATGTATCAGCAGAAAGCCCTGTACACACACATTCTATGTTACTCTACAGATACAGAGAAATAAGAAAAAGAGTGAGAATACTAGAGAAAAGTTAAGCCATCTGGGCAGGGTCAGGTCACAAGCTCGAAAGCCTACGGTCAGCATAGCTTATGGTCATTTCTAGAAATTACTACCCTAGACCCTCCTAGTAAGTAGTCCAGCTGTGGAGCACAGAGAACCTCAGTTGTGCCCCAGCATGATTGGCCTGAGGAGGCTTTTGGAGACCGGGCAATCCCCAGAGGTACCTCCCCCTTCTCCATACCACTGCCACATCAGTAAAGGTTATCTAGGGGAAGGGTTCTCTGGCTCTTTTGCATTCCAAAACTATTCACCAAGATTCAAAACCTCAGAGAGAAAGTGCAGACACAAGCTCTGCGGTCACAGGACAGAGGAGGGCTTGGCTACATCCTTGTCAAACAAGTACTGATCCCTCAAAAACATGGCACTCTACAAAAAGAAATAAGTGTGAGGGCAGGTGAGAGACCCAGGGGGTCCCAGACTGCCCAGCAAATGCATGTGCACCACTGGGGATGCCGCAGAGTCACTGACACCACTGTGGGGCAGGTGTGCCAAGGCCAGAAACCAAGAAGACACAAATATTGCACATTCAGTCAAGGCATTTCCAAGAACAGTCACAGAAATTACAGCTCTCTTAGATATAACAACATAACACATTTGGCAACTTTCAAAGGAACAGCCTTCCCCACCCCAAGCCATCAGAAGGTCCACAAAGTCCCTTCATCTTTGGTCCAGTTTAAAAAGCCAGGGAAGGAAGACAGGGTGAACGCAGGGTAAGAAAAGGCTGCAGATGCAGTTATAGCAACTACCTCACGCTCCCGTCTGTCTGATTCAGCCCAGGATGCTGCCTGTCTCAAACCTCCCCTTGGGAGGTTGCCAGAGGGTCCTGCCTGCTGGAGACAACTGAGGCAAAGCTCCACATGGTGGCAGCTGGGTGCTCTGAATCTAGAGCAGTAGTCACCAACCTCCAACCACAGCAAAGGACACCTCATCTTCCCTCCCCTCACAGAGGCTCTGCTCATAGGAACATGGGCACTCTGGCAACTCTATGCTTTACCCCAAACCTCAATTCAGTAAGATGCAGCTAGAACCCTCTGCATCTGCTGCACGATCGTGAGGCTGAGAAGACGGAAGAAAAGACAGTGTTCTAAGAAGAGACTGCTAATGTCCCATGTGGCACACTAGGGTGGAACCATGGCACAGCTCAGGGACACCCTTCCTTTGCTCCAGGTTCCTTGAAGTACAGGCCATTCCAAGGAGCTAGGCCACTCTCCCACTTCTCCCAGATCCCCAAAAGGCTCCAACTGAGAACCTGGTCCAGCTGCTGTTGCAAAGACCTGTTACAATAGGCTGAGGAATAAAAGCGAGTTTCTGAAAAAGGATTCTGCAGCCAGAAGTGTATCTGTCTTTGGAGTCCTGTGGGTGGGGGTGGGATTCCTTTGGTTTTAACTGGAACACTACTCCACTCGGGGGCCAGGCTCCGCTCTGCTTTGCAGCAGCTCAGTTACTGTACAAGAGTGAGATGGAACTTCACAGACGCGTTCTGCTGGACTGCTCTCTTGACGTTTAGGATTCTGGTGTTTCGGATTCTTAGTTTACATCCGTGATCCTCTCTCCTGAAGAATCTGAAAGTGGGAGATGGAGGAGAAGGCTGAGGCTGGTAAAGCAGACTGCCAAGGAAAAGGAAGAGACCTGCAGCTGCTCTCCACTGGACCATGGTAAGCAACCCAGTGACCCTGCTATCCCAGGAAGCAAGGCGGCAACAGAGCCTCAGCCTTACCCAAAGCCTGTTAAGTTGTAAAACATGCTCTTGTGAATATAGTTGGATCCAAAGTTTATGTGTTGTTGGACCAAATTTTTCCTGTGTGAAGGACATAGTTCAAGCTTACCACATAATGGTGATTTATTTTTTATTTTATTGTTTTCGAGACGGAGTCTCACTATGTAGCCCTCAATAAAGTGCCATGGCATCATAGCTCACAGCTCCAGCTCTTGGGCTTAGTCGATTCTCTTGCCTCAGCCTCCCGAGTGGCTGGGACTACAGGTGTCCGCCACAACGCCTGGCTATTTTTTGTTGCAGCTGGGCTGGGGCAGGGTTTGAACCCGCCACCCTCGGTATACAGGGCCAGCGCCCTACCCACTGAGCCACAGGCACCGCCCCATAATGGTGATTTAGAAGTGAGTGAGTATGGAGGAAAAAGAAAATAGCATAAAATAATTTTCTAGGAATGTAAGAGGGGAAAAGTCACAAAGGCAAGAAAATACTTTTTCTCCTGAGGGAGCAAAAAGAAGAACAATAGTTTCAAAGAATAAATGCAATATACTTTCCTATTTTGAGTTCAGAATTCTCATCTTGTAGTAACTAGTGCCAAGCTTTTCTTCTGTCTTGAAGTGGCAGAGGCTAGAGAAAGTCTACTCTTTTCAGGTGCACATTTGCTAACTAAAACCCTCCTCACTTCTCCTTTTTTTTGAGACAGAGACTCAAGCTGTCACCCTGGGTAGAGTGCTGTGGCATCACAGCTCACAACAACCTCCAACTCCTGAGCTCAAGCGAGTCTCCTGCCTCCGCCTCCCAAGTAGCTGGGACTACAGGCGCCTGCCACAACGTCCAGCTATTTTTTGGTTGTGGTTATCATTATTGTTTGGTGGGCCCAAGCTGGATTCGAACCCACCAGCTCAGCTGTATGTGGCTGGCACCTTAGCCACTTGAGCCACAGGCGCCAAGCCCCTCACTTCTCCTTAAACCCTGATTTAAATTACAACAGTCAAAATAACAAAATAAAGGGGAAATGCAAAGCTGGTTTTAGACAAAGAAAAGAAATGAAAAGCAGCAGTTCAGGCAAAGCCCTTCCTGTGGAGGGGCTGGGGAAGTGATTTTTTACCTTTGCCTTTTCACTGGGCTCTATGACAATGCCATTGGTAGAATTATTTAGTTCTCTGGAGACGACACAGAGGAATTCTGCCTGGTCCTCATTTCCATAGTTATAGGAAGACCCAATGCTGATCAGCTGAGGAGACAAGACCATGGTGAACATTCCAACAGTGATCATCAAATCCTAAGTGCTACACAGATCACACTCTCCTCCTGACTGAACTCTGCTGTGTTACCTCTCAAAGGATAAAGACTTCTCTGCAACTATCAATGCCCCAAGGAACAACTGGGTCTGTACTCATCAGAACATCACCAATGACGCTTCCCCGAGAAGAAAAGTATGAGCCCACCAATGCTCCTCACCCAAGCCCTTAAAATCATCCCAAAGGCAGCAGGAGGATAAACATGACAACTCGTCTTCCGAAACACTGCGGTGAAAAGCAAAGTTTCCATGAATGAAAATGGACACTTGTACTCTCGGAGGCCAAGGCGGGTGGATTGCTTGAGCTCAGGAGTTTAAAACCAGCCTGAGTAAGTGCAAGACCCATCTCTACTAAAAAGAGAAGGTAGCCAGGTGCAGTGGTGCATGCCTACAGCCCAGCTACTCAGGAGGCTGAGGCAGGAGGATCACTTAAGCCCAAAATTTGAGGTTGCTGTGAGCTATGACGGTGCCGCAGGACTCTACCCAGAGCAATGGAATGAGACTCTGTCAAAACAACAACAAAACCCTCAAACTCCAACTCTACATAAAACTAGACATGAGCCATATAAAATTATATTCACTCTGTTCCACTCTCAGTCTTCCTATGATCTGAAGGAAATAGAAGGATCAAACAATTCTGCCATCTAATGGAATGAAACAGTAAAACTCTGGCTCTCAGTAGTTTTGTTTTACTTTTTTCTTATGGTGTCATAGCTCACAGCAACCTAAAACTCTGGGGTTCTTGCCTCAGCCTCTCTAGTAGCTGAGACTACAGGTGCACACCACCAAGCCCAGCTACTTTTTCTTTTCTTTTTTTTTTTTTTTTGAGACAGAGAGTCTCACTTTGTCACCCTTGGTACAGTGCTGTGGAGTCATAGCTTATAGCAATCTCAAACTCTTGGGCTCAAGCTATTCTCTTGCCTCAGCCTCCCAAGTAGCTGGGACTATAGGAGCCCATTAAAATGCCTGGCTGTTTTTAGAGACGGGGTCTCGCTCTTGCTCAGGCTGATCTTGAACTCGTGATCTCAGGTGATCCACCCACCTCGGCCTCCCAGAGTGCTAGGATTACAGGTGTGAGCCACCATGCCTGGCCGAGTTTTTCTGTTTTTTTAGTAGAGACAGGACCTGGGTCTACCTGCTCAGGCTGGTCTCAAACTCCTATGCTCAAGTATTCTGCCTGCCTCTGCCTTCCAGAGTGCTAGGATTACAGGCCTGAGGCCTCACGCCTGGCCTGTTTTGCTATCTCAATCATAAATACAATGCTAAAAGAACTGGAGAGGACAGTAAAGGACTATGTCACACTTATCATGACACCTCCTTCCTCTGTGGTATACCCATCCACTAAGCTTTCCAGCTGGATTATATAGACGTCAGAATTCAAAAGTTCTGGCCCTGGGAGAAAGAAAGGAAGTCTTATTGTTGAATCCCCCCATTTTCTTTAGGGACTCACTCTAGAATTCCTCTGAGGGGATAAAAAACAAAAGAGAAGGACTCCCAAGCACGAACAGGCTTACTGGCTCCCCTGGGGCCAGTCAATGTGAAACTCTGGACGTGAAGCTGGGAGCCATGGCACCTCCATCTTGACTCTCCCCAACTCATCATGTACTACTGAGCCAGTCACGCCCCCTTAAGCTACTCTTCCTGTTTTAGAATAGGATCATATTTGGTCCTACTGATCTCTCAGGGTTATTAACTAGTTACTGCCAGAGATTGGAGCATTGCAGACCCCTAAGATGAGATATGGGGACTACTCCTCTTTAGGAGGTATTACCTGTTCAAATTTCCAACCGTCAGACATAGTGGAGACCATCTGTGTGAGCTCCTCTTCTTGACACTGCAGGACTCTGTACACGTGCTTCACAGGGCCCTGCAACAACCCAGCACAGACTATGAAGAACAGCACCAAGGACGCCACAGTGCAGCTGCCCCAAGGAAGCTCTTCAAATGCATAAACAAAAAAGGAGTTGCTTGGAGATTTTTTCTTGGCAGCCACCCACAGTTCTCCTTTACAAATAATACTAAGGTTTTTCAATAAAAACTCATCCCAGGAAAGAAAAAAGGGGTCTAAGAACATGAATCAGCAGATAAGATGATTCTGAACTTTGGGGGATGAATTATATGAGCAGCAAGGCTGACAAATTTAAGATTCCACCCATTTCCCCAAGCGGAAGAGTAAAATTACTTGCATAACAGTCACATTGTTATCTGAGGTTGTTTATATCTGACACACATGCTACAAAAGTATGCAGTATTTTGGTTCATCTAGAGCAGTGGTTCTCAACCTGTGGGTCGCCCCCCTTTGTAACAATGAAAATACATCTTGCATATCAGATATTTACCTTATGATTCATAACAGTAGCAAAATTACAGTTATGAAGTAGCAACGAAAATAATTTTATGCTTGGGGGTCACTACCACATGAGGAACTGTATTAAAGGGTTGTGGCATTAGGAGGCATTAGGAAGGTGGAGAACCACTGATCTAGAGTGATGTCCATGACTATGAGAATAATATATCTAATATATCAAGACATTAAATCAGGCTCAGTGCCCGTAGCATAGTGGTTACGGTGCCAGCCATATACACCGAGGGTGGTGGGTTCGAACCCAGCCCGGGCCAGCTAAACCACAACAACAAATA